ATTTGTTCGTTGTATATTTCCAAAAAGGAACATTTGCAAATGTATTTTAATCTACAATCCTTCCTGTTCTCTTCTTCCTACGTGGAAGATAAAAATAGTAAAAATGGTGACTTGGAAGCAGCATTAAATATAACTGAAAAGAACATTCTATTAGCATGAAAACATTATTCTAGCTATCACACCGCTTTAATCCTCATAAATAAATAGTCAAAAACTCTTGGTGTTATCCCACTATCTTCAGCAAGATGTCCTTGCGTTTCTTTTATCTCACCCATCATGGTATATGTTTTTCCACTGCCCGTCTGCAGAAAACCAGCCATAATTTCAGCAACAAACACCACAATACACAACAAGTCATAGCAAAAGAGCAAGACAAAATAAGAAACCGTCCCCAGTGATATACCTGACCATAAGCAAACATACAACTGTTGTAACCAGACAAGCAATTCTCCACCATGGGCACTCCTGCAACTCTGAACAGATTTTCCTACACCAGTTTCATAACCAAAATAAGCGATTGTTTGAGCTTAACCTTTTTTTTACCTGTGAAGCACAGAAACTGACTCCGGAAACAACACTCACATGTCAACACCACTAACAATTTTAAAAAAATGAATTTATTGAATGTAATTGCATGTGTATGTGTGTCCAAAACAGAACATCTTCCATCAAAATTGAGTATGCTACAGAGTTTTTCATCAAATTTTTATTACAAAATTGAAAACAATTGAACTAGTAAAAGATTTGATTATTTCCATTTCGCTAAAAATAGCAACTCCAAAAGAGAAAACATATCACATAACTTGCATGCAACATTAAGCCTAAGTGAAATTTGAGACCTGTGATAGTGTTTCGCAAGCTATATGATCGAATGTTAATCTGGTTTCAGGATGACCGAGCCAAACCAAAGTCTGTGCACTCTCCTGTTTCAAGCACCTTCCACTTCCTTGTGAAAACTTCTCCATAGTACTCAACGGTCGAATCCTTATCAGCACCTGAACACAAGCAAAATTTACATAAACCTAATTTCACACAAATCATCAGTGATAGAAGAATCTCCTAAAACAAACCTGCACATTATGATCCGTCCAAAACGAAGGATCATGTTCGAGTTCAAAATGCTGAACCTCTGTCGCCATTTCAGTTCCTTTCAACATTCCTTTACCTAAGCTTACTCTACTATTTCCTCCACCAAGGGAAATTCTCGAAGAATTCCTCGCCGGTGTACTATGCGCTGAGCCAGGTTCGGAGTTCAGTTTCCCGATCCGAACCGAAACTCCACTCCCAACCCTATCGGAAGTAGAACGAGCGTGTCTAAGAGGTTCGTGTTCGTGGCACTGAGAAGGATCGGGAATGGAATTTAAAGGAGTTCGTGGTGGTGGAAAGTTGATCGGGTTCTGAGATTCAAATTCGTTCTCATTTGCTTCCATTTGAGTGATTCTTCGGTTCGAGTTTCGAGTAGAAGTAGTTGTTGATGGTGTTGTTGTTGTTTCCTTCAGCATTTTGCTGCGGATAGTACTGTGATTTGGATTCATTGTTAATGCTTCTTCGTCTTGATTTGAAGTGTATTTGCAGGATGAGATTGATGATTGAGGAGGACCCGCTTCATTTCAAATTCTACTTTCATAAATTGTAGTTGGGTCCCTCAACTATTCATTAATATTATTAATGTCACTCCCAAACTGATTTTAAATTTCAAATGTACTTTCTTTTTGGAGTATTTTTGTTGTGATGTGGAGCCTCTTAGATATTCCAAATGTTTAAAGAGGCAAAAGGTGCCTACGGTTTTTAATTATTTTTAATTACTGCAACAATAAATAGAATAATAATTCTAATTCGCTGTTGACTTTCTTATCTTGAACAAAAAATTGTACTAATTTCTTTAGTATCAAACAAAAGAAAAAGTGTAATTTCAATTTATTTATTTTAAAGCAAATGAGATTAAAACCTGAATACTAGGTGTATTCAAATCTTACAAAAGATCCAACGTAAAAGAAAATGATATTTTATACCAACATCAATCTAGCTAATCTCCAAGAGAATTCATTCAAAAAGTTAGATAATCAGAGTTTGGACTTAAAAATATCATTTAAAATAAATCACTTTCAATTAAAAATTTAATTTTTCAACAAATATCAGAGAAACTAATTGACACAAAATTGAAAATAAAATTATTTTTAACTTTCAATATGCACCAAATAGACGAAAATCATATCGAACCTAACCTTGACATTTTAGAATTTCCACATGTAATTTCAATCATGATATTGAAGCATAATTAACAAAAAAATGTAATTAGGAGAATGTTTCATATAGACTCCACTAAAATTATACTCTCATTTAATATTTCTTAAAAGTATTTAATAAATAGAAAACAATGAATATGTCGATTTAAGTTTTTATTAATAGTGGTCGTAGTGTAAGGTGGTGATCCCTTCACCATTGCCAGCCATCAACCACCGTCAAGTATTAATATGTTAAATAAGTGTACTCGTTTAATAAATATTCATGTGTACACAATTACTTTGTATTTAAAAAAAGTACAGAAGATAACTCTTATTTTTAAGAAATTATGTTTTTATTTTCCTGAACACACTTTATACATTGATGAATCCTCTGTTAGGGTTTATATCGCTGGAGAACATAGAGAAGAGTGTATACGAGATTGATTTACAAGAAAGGAGTACTAAAAAGATTAAAGAGGGGATGCTATAAGGGATGATGGTGGCAGAAAACGTTACTTTTAGCCCAAGTAAATCGTATCGGGATTTGGTGACTGGTCAATCAAACAATCATGATATAAGTGTGGAAGTTGTGGATGAAATGCTTGAAGGTGATCACCAGGATGTGGGTGAAGGACTGGGGATTGTAGAAAACAAAGTAAGAGATTATGATTGTCCAACCTTTTTATGTCTGAACTAAAGGAGAAAAGGATACATTGGTATGGAGAAGAGGAGTGATTGTCAAGCTCTTGGGGCGGAAGATTACCTACAATGCGCTTGAGACGAGACTGAAATAGATGTGGGTGAAGAATGGTGTTATCAAAACCATTAATCTGAGCAATGATTATTACCTAATAGCTTTTTTCTTGCAAGGATGATAAAAGGTTAGCAATGGAACACAGTCCTTGGTTCATATATGATCATTATCTGACGGACAAGGATTGGTGTCCAAATTTCCAGCCGAATAAGGATTCCATTGATGAAATAGTTGTTTGGACCAGAATTGTGGGATTACCAATAGAATTCTATGATACTAGAGTTTTGACTTTTATTGGTAATCGGGTAGGACATGCGATAAAAATTGATAAGAATACTATGCAACATGAAAGGGAAAAGTATGCGAGAATTTGTGACCAAGTCAACCTCTCAAAGCCTTTACTTGCACTTTTCAACATCAAAGGTAGGAAGTGTCGTATCGAATATGAAGGTTTCTATCTTCTTCGTTTGAGTTAGACACTATAAAGAAGGATGCAGATGTACCAACAGAGGAAAAGACCCTACTCAGGTTGATCATGGTGGAAAGGAGAAGCGGATAGTAGAAGGAACATCCAAGTTGGCGGAAGTGAGTATGAATTTCGCTAAATACAGTCCTTGGAAAGTTGTGCAGAAGCAGAAAAAAGGAAAGCACAAGTGGAAGGGCGGAGAAACAATATTTTAGTGATAATTAATTAAGAGATTATAATTTCGGGATCGAGATTCATTTCTTTATTCAGCAATAAGTCCAAAGAGATTGTGAAAGATGGCACTGATTCGTTTGCTGAAAAAGAGAAGATAATTATTGGAGTTTCCAAAAATATGGTAGGAGTAGTTAGTAAGGGGGAACAAAGGTAATTATGATGCAATTAATAAGAATAAGAATAAAAAAAGAGTTATTACCGAAAAGAATATTAACATTAGTAAGCCAGTAATTGGTGGAGTTAGTATGGAGTCAGGGAGTTGATGCAATAGTGGCGACAAAAAAGAATGACCATGCAATCTCATTGGGTGATATGTGCATCAATGGCGGACAAGGAAACAAGAATAATAATTCGTTAATTAAGAATATTAAAGATAATAACTATTGTAATGATTTGGTCAAGAAAAAACAGAGAAAGAACGACCATAAAAAATCCAAAAAGGTTAATAAGTTGGCTATACGTGGCACAAAAGGGTTTAAGGGCAGAATAAGTGGCATCAATAAAAAGGGGCTTGAGGGTATTATTAGAAGTGGAAGTGAACTGAAAATCAGCCAATCAGAACAAGTTAATATTAAAAGGAAAGATAAAAAGTCACTGACAAGTCAAATTAAGTGTGCAGAAAATAATGAAATTAGATTTGAAGAAAATATGGTGAATGACAATAGTATGCATGCATCCCTGCATGATGGGGAGAAGCATAACATAAAAAATTTCTTTATTCGACCCCTAAATAGTAAGGAAGTCCATGTTGCTACACCTAAGAATGGTGAAGGGAATGACTTTGAGGAAAGCAGTCCTTTGAAAGCAGATAACCATAAGCAACCTGAAGAGTTAACAATAGGGATTGAGGAGGTTAATGAGACTCAACTGAAAGCATAAGTCCCTTATAGTGTCCAGTCTAATTTCATTCATTCCTGTTAATGATGGTAAGTAATGGTGATAAATATTAGTTTAAAATTGTTGAGGAGCGGCAAACAAAGCCTTCTATAGATATAGTAAATATTATATTGATATTTATAAGTATTTTGTTTATGTTGTCTTGGAAACGAGATGTGACCCTAATAAGATCCATAAGAGCCTTATGCTGTTGGGCTTTGATGAATATCTTGTGCTGGAGAACCAAGGTTATGCTGGAGGAATTGGAGTAGCTTGGAAGAATAAGCATTTGACTATCAATCTTTGCAAGAAAGATACTTAATATATGCATCTTCACATTCAAACTCAGACAGGCTATAATTGGTCCTTTACAACCATTTATGTTAGCCTGAATGATGTTAATAGAAGTGTTTTATGGTATGATTTAAAAAGGATAGCTGATAAGATGCAGGAGTTGTGGATGATAATAGAGGATTTCAATGACATCACGAGCACAACTAAGAATAAGGGTGGCGTTATAGCTTCAACTAGAAAGAGTAAACTTTTCATAGAGAGAATTGATAAGTGCAAGTTGATGGATCTTGGCTCTTCTGGTCCCAAGTTCACTTTGAGGGGACCTATTTACCATAGAGGACAAAGAATTTATGAGAATTTGGATATAGCTTTGAGTAATATTACTTGGATAGAGATATTTATTGATGCTTGTGTAAAAGTCTTAGTTAGAGTTGAGTTCTTAGACCATCATCCCATTTTAATCATGTCGAACATGAGAATGACTAATATAACTTCCAGGCCGTTTAAATTTGAAAGTACTTGGCTAATTGATGTTTCTTATCGTGTTATGCTTAAGAGATTTTGGAGAAAAGAAGTTAGCATGGGAGAGAACATGGAAAAGTCCAAAGAGGACATAAAAAGTTGGAAAGGAAACTCTTTTGATCAAGTATTGAGGAAGAAGAAAAAATATTTGGCAAGACTTAATGGGGTTCAAGGTTGTATTCAAAGGAATGATAATTGTTCAGGAATGAGAACCTTGGAGAAAACGTTTTTTCTAAATTGAACTTCATTCTCAAGCAAGAGGAAATCATGTGGTTTCAAAGGTTTAGAACGAAGTGGATAGTTAATGGCGACTGAAATACCAAATACTATCATCTTAAGACTATCGACAGAATATGGAGAAATAGAATTAGTATGTTAAAAAATGATGTTGGCCCGTGGATAGAAGAGTCGGCTCACCTTAAAGCCTTGGTCAAAGATTATTACAATAACCTCTTTGTTGTTAAGCATATCTGGAGAGAGTGGAAACACACTGATATTTCCTTCCCTAAGCTAAATGATTATGATATTCATAAGTTAAGAAAGGTTATCAGTGATGTTGAGATAAAGAAAGTAATGTTTTCCATGAAGCCTTGGAAAACCCCCAGTCCTGAGGGTTTCCCTGTAGGGTTTTATCAGAAGTCATGGGAGATAGTAGGTCATAATGTTTGTAATTTGTGCATGGGATTTGGAATAAGTCAGAAGAGTTAGCTTCTATAAATTAAACAGACATTTGTTTGATTCCTAAGAGAGATCATACTCAACTTGTTACTCATTTTAGTCTAATATCTTTGTGCAATTCACTCTATGAGGTCATCATCAAAATCATCGTTGAAGGGTTAAAGGTTTGCATATCCAAGTTAGTCTCCCATTTTCAAACATGATTTGTCCCAGGTAGGTCTATCCATGAAAAATATCATCATCGCCAAAGAGGTTATGCGCATTATTCTCAAAAAGAAAGGTAAAAAAGGAATGTTTGCTATCAAAATTGACATATCCAAGGCTTACAACAAGATAGGTTCGGAATGTATTTGGCATGTTCTCATTGAAGTTAACTTGCTAGCTAAGTTGATTAATATCATCATGCATGCAGTCACTGGCACTGAGCTGAATGTGAATTGGCATATAGCTCATGGTGAATACCTTTAACCTCAACGAGGAATTCGTCAAGGGGATCCTATTTCGCCATACCTTTTTGTGTTATGCATAGATAAACTCTCTCATCTTATTGAGCAAGAGGTTGCAAATGGGAATTGGAGAGCAGTCAATATGGGTTCCTAAGGACCTATAATTTCTCATATAATGTTTGCAAATGACTTACTTTTGTTTGAAGAAGCAACCGAGAAACAAATTCTTTATGTGATGGAGGCTCTTCAGAAACTCTATAGCTTAACAGGTCAGGAAGTAAGTGAGGAAAAATCTAGCATCCTCTTTTCTAGTAATTTCACGTGAAGCTTGAGGCAAAAGTTACTTCAAATCTTCAAGTTCATAGACACCCGTTAGTTTGACAAATACTTGAGGGTCCCTCTTAGTGGGAAGAATTTGAGAAGAGTTGATTCCCAATATATTATTGATCAAGTTTCTGCAAGTCTTGCAAATTGGAAAGCGAACTTGTTGTCGTGTGTTGACCAAACTACCTTAGCCAAAACTGTTTTAGAGGCTATCCCGATTTACCCGATGATGATGAATTTATTCCCTAAGTCTTCTCTAGAAGAGATTTAAAGAATGTAACATAATTTCAATTGGGGGGATGTTAGTAGCAGTAGGAAGATTCATGATTTCAGTTGGAATATTGTTATATTGCCTAAGGACCATGGAGATATAGGTCTTAGGGATCTTGCAGATAATGCCTACATTATAAAGCTGAGTTGGAAATTTATTAATAATTTTGAGGATCTTTCCTGAAAAGTGTTTAGAGGTATCTATAAGGATGTGAATTTGTGTCGTAATCCAACAAAGAAGAGCAGAAGTCTGATCTTCGGAGGGCGATACATAAATTCATTCCTTACTTGTTGAAGCATGTTAGATGGAACATTGGTGATGGTAGAAGTGTTGATTCTTGGGAAGATAATTGGATAGAGGTTGGGACTTGCATTAGTAATCATGTGCAGTTGATTCTAGAAAGTTTACAAGGGGCTATGGTGTGAGATTTAGTGACTGGGAGTGGGGATTGGAACTGGAAAATTCTACAGCAGTGGATTCCTCAAGGTATTTTGGACAAGATAAGTAACATCCAACCTCCAAATGGTGATCCATAAGCCGATAAATGTTAGACGACAGGTTTCGATCTAGAGGGGGTGAATAAATCACAAATGTAATACCAAAACTTTTGGCAGAAATAGATTTTCAAAAGTTTTATGGCACTGCAAAAATAATCTGAATTGAATCGTCTAATCGAACCTACTATGGAAAAGGCTGACTATGCATAACGTAAACCTATGGAATGACAATGAACACAATTGTTCAATAATGATTAATTGACATATCAATCATATGCAAATTTATTTGTAAAACTTATTTCCAATGAACACAAAGCAATAAAAATACTCAAAGGTAATTTATCGAACACTTTGTGTGTGATCGATAACATTTGAAAATTCAATTTGTTTTATTGATGTTAAAAGCCAATCACAATCAAAGTGATGATCATATCAACAATAACACTTTGAAAGATAGTTAAAATTCAGTTTCCAATCGAATTAATTGAAACAACAATGAAATCAATAATTTGCAAGAACAACAATTAAAGAGATAAAGAAAGGTAGACACAAAGATTTATTTAGGCAGTTCCCCGATTGGCCTATGGGTATGTCTGCTCTCAATCCAAAATCAATTTGAGATACTTGTAATTAACCTTATATTTGCAAAAATGTTTATACAAAAGGTGAAGAACTCTCCCTACAAACCCTATGGTTTGTTGTTGATTCAACCACCTCCAAACCCTTGATCAAAGCTTGATCAAGTCACCAACAATGCTGCTACAATCCACTTGTTCTTGATTGCTTGCTAGCAAGACCTCCTTGTCCGTAAGGTTGTCACTCTGTCAAATTATCCCTATCACTCACTTGTTGAACCCAATATTCCCGAACACGATTCACCATCCCGCGTTACTCCCTTACAAGGAAACTATATTGTCTAAAGGCCTTCACTCGGTTGAATATGTGTTAACGCAATCTTGCCGAAGACCTTCAAATCCCAATGATCTTGAAGGAAAACCCCACCTTGGTTTTCTTATTTGAAACACAAAAAGATCTCAACCTAATATTCTCGGTTACATCAACCTAATTGGACGTTATCAACCATAATCTAGATTATCACCTAATCAAAAAGTGATTAGTTGTAGTTTGATTGCGTGTATGCACAGAAGAAAGGTTAAAGATGGCTGACAATTGAACCCACTCAAAAATAGTTTGGAACTCGATTCGTCAATTAAATCGTTGAACCAAGTTCATGAACCAAATGAGCTGAATATGAGCAAAAAACTAAGTTCGTTAACTAAATGAGCTGAACTTGAACTATACATAGTTCGAATTGTTAGGTTCATGAGTCAACTCGATTACATATAAGAAGGATTATATTGTCTTTAAGATTAGGTTTAAAGATTTACTCCAAATATTAATCCTAAATATGTACCTTATGTACTATAGTTATGGCAGTAAAGCCGACAATTGCATTTAGAATCATCCTTGTTGGAGGCATAATGACATTTACTAAATAACATGTGTAACGAAGGTTGCAAGTGGTGTAGTGTAATCATTCTGTGATGGAAATGTATCAATTTCTAGTAATTTTTTGTGTACTATTTCATTAAAATTGTATGTTTCATAAATATTTAGATGAATTGTGGATTTTAGAGACAAATTTAAACTTCAATTGAGTAGTTTTTGAATTATACTTTCAATTGTATCTCTTGAAAATTGTGTAATTTTTGAATTAGTAGATTTTGAGATAAAGTTAAATTTTAATTAGATAACTTTTATTTTATTTTAACATTTTCTTTTTTAAAAAATATTAATTTAAAATGTCAAATATATATATATATATATATATATAAAACAACTGACTTAAAAAAATGGCTTTTAAGTCCGTGAGCCAAGTGAGTTGAACCTAATGAGATGAACCTAACGAGTTGAACCGAACTGTTCGTGAACTTATAATGAGTCGAGTTTGAGCTTAAAAAAAGTCTGTGTCGAACTCAAACCGAGATTTGAGTTGAACCAATTCTTAACGAGATGAGCCGAGCTGAGGCGAGTTTGACTCGACTCGACTCATTTCCAGCCCTAGATGATGGGAATGCTTTGTAATTCTGGTCTTGTTTAGGTTTTACACTAGTATCTTGGTAGAAAAAGATGCATGTATGAGTGTGTGTGTGTGTGTGTGTGTGTGTGTGTGTGTGTGTATATATATATATATATATATATATATATATATATATATATATATATATATATATATATATATATATATATATATATATATATATATATATATATATATATATATATATATATATATATATATAAGTATGAGAAATAATGAGTGAAAGGAATGCAATTTGGTGGAGAAAAAAATGAAATTTTTGAAGTGGGACATTATATATGTCAATCTATCAAAGCAATAGGTCAACCTATCGAGGTAATCAGGTCAGCCTATGAAGGACTCAAGTCGGCCTATAAAGGTTTCGTGTCGCCCATGTGTCACCTAAGAGAGGCGACCTATGGACAGTGGCTACAGGATTTAATATTGATCCATGGGAGCCGACCTGAAATTCTATGTCTTGACCTATACTGGATCTGAAACTTGTATAGGTCAACCTACTTGCGCATGTTTCGACCTTAAATGAATTGACCATCCAAAATCATATTTTTCAATGCATTTATGATGTAAGTTCATTTTACCACTCATTTAAATGTGTCCTAATACTAAGATGATCATCTAGAATGGGAGGATATTGTTCAATATACATAACGCTAAACTAGCATAGTTTTAACATCACTCAAAATCCAAAAGCACTCACATACTCTCCTTTTTATGATGGCAAAACATGAGACAGTGTGTCTCACAACGTTGTTGTCTTTATGAAGACTCCCCTGAATATGTGCATCTGACTTCAACTTGTGTAAACTTCTCCCCCTTTGACAACATCAAAAAGAGAACAAGCAAACAATGATAAGTATCAATAACCACATAAAAATCAACTAACTACACATAGGCAATTTGCAAAGAAAATACTATCAATATGAT